TTGCAAGATGAGCAGAGTAGACTGACCAAGTTAAGTGAGCAATGAGCATCCTCTGTGCTTTCCAAATTTGCACAAACCGCCCTCTCTCAAGTTATAGCAGCTGGTCAGTAGCGCAAAAGTGGGTATGCACTATAGTAAGCCGGCCTGGCTGAACTGGAGAACGCGCAGATCCAATCGCAGTAAAATAATTTATATTACAGTTGTCGCATCCCTGCCGCTAGCAGGTTGACTACACATGGAAAGCTGGGGAAGAATAACGTCAGGTTTGTACTGTCCGTTTCTCCTGCCATTAGCAAAGTGCATTAGCACAAGAAATCCTGGAGAATTCCAGTTTTCCTGCAAGCCCCCCTCCCCTCTACAAGTTTGTGTACTCACTCTACCTTGCTAAGTGTCCTTGTTGTAATGCAATATGTAATATTACCAGCCCAGACTGGATAAAGGCTGAAACAAACTGGCATCAGAACAAGAGCATGCTCCAAACACTTTTCATTACCCGCACTGCAACATCAGACCTTTTTGCAGGAATATCTTGATAAGTCATATCAAAATCTTTTATTTAGGCAAACTTATTGAACAACCAGATATCATACGGGTCCTAGTTCCTGAGCTGAGAACAGGTCATAACCATGCTTTTCCAACAAGGCAAGGCAGAGCCGTTTTATATTGTCCATTCACCAATAGACTGATTTATATTGCAAATCTCACTATGTGAAAGAAAACAACTTAGAGAATAATTGTATTTTGTCTTGTCTCGCCTTTTCACGTCATTCAACATTTCAGCTTAGAAAATGACAAACAGTATGATTTCAGTATAGCAGTAACATTTATTTCACCAAAGGAAAAGCACTACATATGACGCTACCATTTAGCAGTTTTCACAAATCCAAGGGGAGTCCTTCCTGTTGCAGTGATTGCGCACCTGGCTTACTTATAAAAACAATTTAAAAATCTCAAAAAATAAGAGTTTAGCACATATTCCCAAAGTAAGAGTTGTAGTATGAACTAGACGAGGTTATCTATGTGTGCTACACGTTTTGTGGCACTACAATGATCTATAGTGTAATTATTGGATATTATATGCTTATAATAACAAAGAAAGAATATCCAAAACTTCAGTTTGGCCTATCTTCCCAAAGTAAGAAAAAAAAAAGAATGTTAGAACTGTAAATATACAGTCATATGTTTATATTACTATTTTTTCTAATGTATTTATTACTGTTTTCAAAGCTGCACTTTAAAATATGAAATTGTCTAGAACTGTTCTAAACGAAATTTCTTTTTGTTTACACTTGTGTATACAAAATAAAAAATAAAGCTAAGTCTTATGTAATTATTGGCTTTTATAAAAACTGCATTTATCATTTGTTAAAGCCGTATGTCACTCCGTTGTTTTTTTCCTCTCTCCCCTGCCCTGAAAGTTCGCTGTAATGGTAGGTTAACAACACCCTTCCCCCACCTCTGGAGCTTGGCAAAGTTCAGGTTCTAGTTTTCGACAAAATAATTTGTTGTATATCAAAGCTAGACATCTCTCTGTGATTTGCTTTATTGGTGTCAACATCGTCCATTTAATAAATGTAATGCTTCATGTAATTAATAAAAAGACATTTTGTAATAAATAATAAGTCTTCAAACTTTTTTTAAGAAGAGAAACGCATTATTATTGTAAAAACCTATGCTTAGCGTGAACATTCATGCATTCCAATGATGAAGGAAAATCTTTCTGCATACAGTAGTTATATAAGTACATAACTCTAGAGTTTTTATGACGTTCTTTTAGGTTTTTCATTTACATAAAATGTTGAATATTTCCACTTTATGGTAATATTTAATATTTATCATAAATTCTTATGAATTAATCTTATTCTTAGGAACCACTTATTAGACAATTTTCAAACCCTTATATGTTTTTTTTTGTCTGCATTGTATTGTCAAAAAGCTAAATAGATCCTGTTGCTCCACTCTTAAAAACATAAACACAAATCAAGTGTCCTGCTCAGACAGCAGCCAGTAACTGATTACTGGTACCAGCTGATATGATTTAAAACAAATCTTCCCTGAAATTAACATCATTTTTTAAACACTGTGTTATACATTTTATTCTAATATCATCAGCTGCACAACTTGATGGGACCTCAATCACTGTGACGGATTTAAATGTCTGATCTCCTGCTGATTCTGTATGTTTGTTCTCTTACAAAAAAAAAAAAAAAGAGCACTTAAATACATATTTGCATTTCATAGAAATAAAAAAAGTAGTTGGTGCTGTGCCGAGGAGCCAAATCAGAGGAAATTCTTCTGTTTTTCACAACTGGATGTTAGAAAATGCAGATCTACACAGCAATGGGATTACGTACAATAACATCAGGTAGGCTTATGTTGAGAAAATAACAGTTTTTAAAATGATTAGTAAGAAATAGAAGCTGTGCAACACAGTCATCACTTGGCCTCAGTTTAAAGGTTCTCATCTTAGTGAGTGAGGAGGACCCCAAGAGAGATAAGGGGTTAACCCAACTAACTGAATTTGATAAGACTTCAGAGAGATTGCTGTGGTTAGATAAGTTTTTCAACAAAAGCTTGATGAAATTATGCGAAAAATATATATAGTCGGAAGGCAATTGTTTGATGTTATTTTCTACAGATTGTTCAAGGGGAACTTAAAGAACTGAGTGCTCAATATACAAGAATATGGCATAATATTCTTGACAAGAAGTGTGACAAGAAGATTGAGTGAGGTTGATTCTTCATTTGACAATAAAAAACCTACACATTATTTTTCCATCTTAAAAAGGCTTAATTGAGAGGAATGTTTAACTGAAGTTAAATATCCTGTTTGTGTGTAAGTGAAATCTGACAAATATCCCCACATCATCACAGAACCTCCAACGTGCTTAGCATTGGTCATGAAGCGTTTTCCCACATATTCTTCCATTGTTTTAAAAGAGCCATCTGCTGTAGATTGAAAAAAAAACTCTATCTATAGACTCATTTTTAACCTGTTTTGCTAAGTAAATTTAGAGAATTCCACTAATTTAGAGCAGAAAAGAGTGACATTTTCTGAAATGTCTCCCAAATAACATAATGTCTCGATTTCTCATAAAAGGCTTTCAAACTTTTTTTTGTTCCTCTTCAGAATGTTTAATCCATTCTGCTGAGGAGAAAAAGAAACATTTCCAATTATTGAAAATAAAAAGGTTTAAAGAAACTCAGATGAACTTTAAAAGCAAATAATGACATACATATTCAAAAACATAAAATATGTGGTTTGTAAAAAAATTTTCACCATAAAATTTGCCTAGTAATGTAAAATCTTTACACGACTCTAAGAATGATCATTTTTATTATCAATGCAAGATTTGATTTAATTATAAAATTACATATAGAGGACCAACAATTTAATCTGATCTGTATTTTTGTATGAAAATCTTTAGGTTATAGTTAATAAAACATTGAAATTTAAATAAGACAGTTAGAAAAGTCAGACTTGTTTGAGAAATGTACTCAGAAAACAGTTAATAGTTTTAAGGTGAGATAAAGTAAAATGTTTTTTCTGAAGTCAACCTTATCTCCCACCAGCTTCCAAAAAATCCCTGATATTTAAAAACCAAACCTAAATGACATAAACTTAATTATAAAAATAGAATCAAACAAGTTTTTCATTCATCATGCAGAGGTGTAACGATGCTGGCCTTTTCCACAATATCTCATTTTCACCACTAGATGGAGCTGTAACCTTGTTAACAACAAGTAAATTGACAGTGAATAGGTCACCAGCTTCACCTTTCAAGTGAATGATAAGATTTTTGTACTTTTCTCAGCTATTTAGGAGGATAATAAGAAAACCTGCTCTTTTTGTAATCATTTATAAGTTACACTGAGATTAGAGCTTTTTTAAATGAGGACCAATCTAATTGTAAGAGCTGTTCAGCTTACATATCTTCTATAAAGTGATATTGACTAAGATTATGTGCACAATAATAGTTTCCTTTTATAAAGAGGTATTTAAGCTTTTATTGTAAGACAAAATTTTCTCCACATGTTTTTTGTTTCCTATGGGTGATACCTGTTTTACACCCTGCTAAGTCACATAAAGGGGGAGATATTTTCTTAGCTGTTTTTTGCAGTAAGCAGCGGGCCAGCGGTCTTCTTCACAATGTGAGAAGCTGCTTACGTTGGCCGTTACTCCTTCGATGGAAAAATAAAAAGCACTCACAGGAAACTCCCTTTGCTTGATTTCCAACCACCCAACCTCAAGATTCATCTGAACACATCCTGTTGTATCAGCACTTCATTGTCATCCAGAGCCCAGAAGTCACATCAGCGTCACTGGAATCTTCTGAAAAGCCGACTCATTCATTTTTTGGTGCTAAACACTCTGCAAAAGCCAAACTGCTTCACATCATTTCTTTTATTATTTCAGAACATAGATACAAATGAAACTTTAAAATAAAAGAGTTTATGAAACTCACAGCATGTTGTCTGTAGAAATAAAGACAATCCCCACAAACGTTTATATTAAACTCTAGTATAGAGTTTAGAATATATCAGCTAAAAGTCCCATTAAAAAAACATCCAAAAATGACTCACATCTTACAAACCCACAGCAAATATCTACAAATGCATTAACAGACAAACATATATTTGGAGGGGTGAGGGGGGGTTCTTAGGTGAGGTGAAGACTCGTGCAGATCTTTTCAGATGGAAAGTTGTGTTTGGAATGCATTGAAATTTTAACAAAAGGATAAATATGTCACTTCTCCTAAAAGGAACTGCAGTTTTGCAGGGAAGACAACAAACACATTGGTCACTTTCAGTTTCCAAGTCCTCTGCTTTGGTGTGTTGATTCTGTCTGTCTGGGAGCCAAAGATTGATTCTGTTTTCTTGCTCTTGTGCTACCACTGTTGATCCCACTCATCTCAGAACAGTCCAATGTTTTCTTTTCCCCTCTTTCTTGAAACCCTCCGCCTCCTCTTCTGTCTTCTCCTTCATTTCCAAATACCTACCCCAGCCCCCTTTCCTTTTTCTTTCTTGCTTTCTCTTTTTTTTTTTTTTACCCCTCTTGTCCTCTTGCCCGGAGTGAAGTGGAGACATGTGTTTCCCTGCACCTGCATGGAGAGAAAGGAAGAAAAGTGAAGTCAGATCTCTGCCTCCCTCCCTCCCTGCAGTGGGGAGCAGACAGACTGGCGCCTAGCATGGAACTTTCATTAACCCCAGGCAGATAGCAATGCATCCACTTCACATTCACTGCTCTGTTTAATTGGCTGCACACTGAGTGGCCTTTCAATACACAACTTTCCTACAACATTAAAAACACACTTTTTCCTTTAAATATAGTTTCTTTTCTTTATTGAAAACAGGACAAATACATACCAATAATGTTCCATCCTCATCCTAATGGCATAACCGCTCATCCTCTTTGGATAATGTGTGCGTAAGGTCCGCAGCCTGATCGAGAAGCAGATAGAAAACAAGAGTTTTTAAGTTAAATCGATTTAAGAATAGCTTACATGTCAGATACGAGGTGTTGTTACAAGAGATCAGTATCTACGTCTGCACCACAAAAAGATTAAAATAGAATACAAGCAGAGGAAAGCTCAGCGCTGTGCAGGTTTTTTAGATTTACACAGCAAATGTTTAAATTGGGGATATGAATCAGGGATGTTCCCACGTGCGTTTTTGTTGGGATGTTCAATGAAAAGCATGAGTCCACCCTGCAGCCTCTCACCTTTATGGATAAAACCATCTCCGGCACAGATGCGTCCTCCGCCTCCAACGCGATCTGCAGGTCGAAGATGTAGTCGATGACCTGCTGCAGGATCTCCACCTGGCTCACAGACTTGTTCTGAGGGATGCACACCAGCTCCTTCAGCTTGGAGTAGCAGTCGTTCATGTCGCACAGCGCGCTCACAGACTCGTCCAAGCAGGAGTGTTTATTCCGGCCGATGGCGAGACTCTGCTCCGAGATGCAGCAAACGGCCTTGTAGCAGTTCCTCACTGAACGGACGGGACTAATTGCCTTCATGCTGTGGGGATCAAACCGTGAGAGACGCAGCGGCTGTGAATTCGGGTACTTTCCACAAGGTTCGTGTTCAAATCAGCTAAAGCGATGAGACGGAGGAGCTCCATCAGGTTTTTATACACTCGAGACGCCTACGGACCGCCTACTTTTCGCATCGCGCTGTGATTGGTCAGCGTGCAAAAAGGCGAATGCCTATTGGTTGAGAGCGCGTATTGGATGCAGAGCAAGGAATGAGGAAATTTGGATGAGATGCCTAAAGGGGGGTGTCAGTTTGTTGGCTGTATTCTTCAGGTGACTTCTTCATTCGATATGGATAAAATTACTTAGTGAATGATGGATTTATTTGTATCCAACTCATTTCTTCACTATTAAGATAGATGCATGTGGTGTAATATAGGCAAAAGGTCAGCAAAAAAAAAAGAGTATTTCGACACCAATTGTGTTGTAAAATCAGTCATTTGAGTCACTTTCCAGTAAAAGTCTTGCATTATCTCCACCTTCTGTCTCATTGTTCCTTATTCCAGGTTTGTCATATTACACGATTTTTTTACATGATCACATTTTAGTCTGAAATTATCATAAATGTTGATTTAGACCAAATTTACATGTTGCTCCCCTTTCAGTTTACACCAAGGCACGTCCCGTTCTGCTCCTATTTGGGTCTTATTTTCCCCTTTTCTCACAATCCTGTTTTGTGGAAGAATGCAGCCCTGAGCCAGCTGTGTGTCCTATCCCGGCCCAGCTGTGTTGATCTAACGCGCCAGTCCCAGACATGCTGGCGCCAGCCTCCCGACGTCATCCATTCACCCCGACGCGCCCTCCCCTCTCTGGCAGACGGCCCGCCCTCCCCGCTGAAGCATCGGAGCGGAGAGGCGCAGTGGCGCTCGGAGTTCTGATTGGCTGAGAGGCGCTGCCAATCCTAGATGGATCCTCCGCTCCACTGTTCTCCTCGCTGGATCTCTAGTTGGGTGAAAACTTTAAAATAATAATAATACAAAACATTGAGGTTGAGGTAAACAGAGAGCTAAACAAAAAAGAAACTTAATAGAAATCGTGAATTTTTCTCTTTATTTTTATAACCGATGGCCCCATAAGTAATGCTCAATTCTTTTAGTTATAAAAAACGACAATATGTTCTAACACAGCTTTACAAAAAACCTACTGGATGTTTGAAGGGGGGGGGGGGGCCTCTTCAAAGATCATTAACATCTTATCTTTAGAAGCTCTTGTGTGTAAATACCCACGGTTGGAGATATTCCTCCAATTACGCTTTATGCAGAGGTTGAACAGATGTTGGAGCTAAAACTGTCTCCCTCCTGACCCCCCCTCCACCTCCTCTTCACAACCACTGACCCTGTGTGACAAGTCACTCAACGACCTCACTCCAGAACAAACCATAATATTGAACCGTGAGACAGGACTTCGATCTGGGCGCTGTTTTAAAGGGCCATCGTGTGAATGGCGTCGGTTGCGCAAACAAAACTTTGACCTTAAATATCTTTCTTGAACATGTCAAAAGAGAGAAAGAGGGGGGCTCGCTTCATATTTCCCAGATCTTCTGGGAAAATAACTGCTTGGAATGAAGCAACCAAGAGATCTTCAAGCTGACTTGCAAAAGTCAACTTTCTTTTCATTTATTAAAATTTATAACAATAAAAAAAAGTTTTAGTTTTTTCTTTTAGAAAATGCAACACATTTTTTTCTTTTTTCTTTTTTTTTGTATACTCGCCTTGTCTGCCCATTAGTCTGTACATCTGTGAGAAAACACGCAGCAGTGTGTCTGGGCATGGATCAGGTGCTCTGTGGAAAGGGCCCGGACACAATCGGCTCTCTCTTTCAATGGATGGGAGAATTCCGAGGCCGGCGTCAGTGAGTCTGCCTCTCCCTCTCCCTCTCCTCTCCCTGCTCCTCCGTGCAGCTGGACGCAGAAAATCAAGCCATCAACATTCGTCACGCATAATTAGCAGCCCCCCACCTCCCTTTTTATCTCCCTCTTTATCTGCCTCTCAATTAAATTTTAGACCATTGTGATTTATTTATTACCACTTACTTCAAAGACAATGTTTGGAGAAAAAAAGTGCTTTCTTGGGTATATTCCTTAACCAAGAGCTGATTTTATAAACGTAGGTGTTCCCACAGCTGCTTATATTCTGAACACTGGGCTCATCTTTATGCCTCAAACAGCATGTTTCAAGATAAACAGAATGTATCCTGTTACTTAATGGGAAAGAGTGTGTAGTAATGGGCGTCATCTTGTGAGATGAGATAGAAAGGAGGCAGCAGAAAAGAGAAGAGTCATGTGGAGAGGCTGGGTTGTAGAGAGGAGTATCTTTTTCAACCTCAAGCAGGGCCCATCATGGTTGGATGATTAGGAAGTAAGATACACAGTGAAACTTAATTCTTTGTATGCTTTCTCTCTCTGTGTGTGTGTGGGTGTGTGTGTGTCACGCAGGATTCCTTGTCTGTCCTTCATCAAGGACTCTTCAGTCTCCATCGGCTTTTTAACGGCCTACACTTCTCCAGTCTTTGTCCCATGTGACCCAGGCGGTGACATGACATTTTATGCACAATGTTGTTTTGTATTGGTCACTTGTTTACAGTAGAATCTCTTGTTCAAGCTTATACATTATTTTGCAGGAATTTCAGATTAGAGAGAGAGATAAAAAGAGAGAGAGGGAGAGACAGCACTTAATCTTTGAGGAAATGAACTGATGCGTATGACTTTATTTCATTCGGTCTGAGAGCAGCCCACTGTAGGGCTGTGGGAGAAAATGAGTTGCAATATCCCATTCTGCATCTCATCATAGAAATACACCAACTTTTCTGGAAAATTATGCGATTCAACATCTGATGATATGCAGTTCCCCACAAAAGTGCTTACATCACATGATCTTTTCTCCATTTTATCTCTTTACAACATCAGAGCTGAATGTATTCCAGAACATTAGGTAATTTTTGAATGTGAAGCAATTTTCAGAATTTGTTTTTCATTGAAAAACTAAAAGCTGAGATGTGTATGCGTATTCAGCCTAATCTAATCTAAAACCCCTAAAGTTTATTAAAAAAACATTCGCTTACAGAATTCACATGAGTTCTAAATAGAGTGCATTTGCATAAATTTTAATTTAAATAAATTATCAAACTGTTCAGCAGAAACTTTAAAGGTTTATTGGAAACATTAGAGAAACAGCAGAAACGTATTGGTCAAGTCAAGTTTTGTTCAACCTGCAGCCAAAAATGGCCATGGGAACTTTGGAGGAGCTGCAGAAATCCACAACTCAGATGAGGGAACCTGTCAATTAGATAAATATGTCATGTTAACTCAATAACCTGGCTTTAAGAGGAAAGAAAAGTGTGTTGTTGAAAGAAAGCCTCAGGAAAATCAATCTGCAGGCTGCATGCAAATTAATGGTATCTTAACTTGAGCCATGGGCGTAGGTTTGCATAGGGACCATAGGGACATGTCCCTACCAAAATTTTGAACCGACCTAATTGTCCCTACCAATAGTTGGATGTGAGCAACATGTTTATAATTTACAGCAGTAGTTGTTGCAGCAGTGGCTTCTTTTCCTCTCGCAGCTCCTCTGCCTGGTCTCTCCTGTCCCTTTCACGCAGCAGCGCATGGAACTGTGCTGCGCTGTTTAACTCCACTCTCATTGGTTGTTCTGCCTTAGGTTCCGCCTTCTCTCCCTCTGATTGGCTGTTTTCTAGTCCGCGTGTGCTTGGAGCACAACATTGAAAATGTATTCACACTAGAATGCTGCGGTTATTATTAGGCTACAAAACAAGTCCCAATAAAAAAAATAATAATATCATGTACACTAAAAAACAAAAAACTTTTTTTTTTCTTTTATAAAACGAAATATTCTGAGTCAGCCAGGAGTTCTGAAGACTGCTGGAAAATTGGGCAAATAAAGGCTGTAAGCATCAACATTTCTGATTCTTAGCCACAGCCACCTAAAAAAGAAAATGTGAGGGTTTCCTTTTTACCGATATTTAGTTGCTGTTACTGTTTTCATTTTTTGATGACTCTTTGAGGAATTTCAGGTATAATTATTAGCAGGTGTTATTTCTCTTATAGAGTATAACAACAAGAAATGGTGGCTAAACATCTGCTGTTTATCGTTTAAAAAGCATAATTCGGGTTCCACATAATAATAGTAATTTAATTGACTATTTATACTTCTAGAAATAGGATAAAGACAAGAACAAACAGATGAAGAATATCAACATTCATTTTATCTTACATAGATTTCTAAACAGTCTATAAGTAAATTAGTACAAACATTAATGTCTGGTAAAAATGCTTGAATATGGCTGTTTATTTTGGATATTATTAAATTACAGATAAGATAGTGTTATATTGTCTTTTATAATTGTTAAAAGTGATTTTATATTTTAATACACTTAGGCTCATTCTCAGTGTTGTGTTTGTAGATGATGCCACTGAAAAAGAAAATAGACAAAAGGAGCTATTTAAACAGTCAGACAGTAAGCAATATAGGATGGTGATAAAAAGTTGTGTTACATTTAATCCTTTACTATTAAAAATGCACTTATACGTTATATGATTATAGGAAACACAGATAATGATGCAGGGCAGCTTGTAGGTGAAGCAGCTGCCCTTCAGTGCTTCAGGTGATGTCTAAATAAACCAGGTGAAACTAAAATATTTCCACATGAGGAGTTCTGGATGGAGAATATTGACAGACAAAAATTTTTTTTTTAATATTTTATATATATATACATATATATATATAGATATATATATATAGTATTTTTACAATTTTGGTATAATTACTGATTTAAGTGGGTTGCTCTGCCGGGGAAAGGCACATTTTACATTTAGATTAATAGATGTTTTATAGTCTCTATTCTTCAGTTAATGATGAATCACTTACTAAATTAGTTGACAATTATTGAAATAATCAATTAATATAATTCATTTTTTCAGCCCCAGGTAAAATACCTGAATTGGGCGACACAGAGTAACTACAGCCCAGATGTTCAACTTTTATAGTGAAGTTAATATTTTAATGAATGTATTATTTTGCTGGATACAGAGAGAGCATAGTAGGTAAAAATATAAGAGTGGGGTTTACCTCTGCATAATTCTATATCTTCAAAAGAAAATACTGTATTTACCTTCTCTATTAGTCATTCAAATGAAACCAATTTCAAAGTGGAAAACAGTCCTAATTCCACATTCATCAGAGCCGGTGATACTTCAAACATTGATAAACAGCATCTAATGAGTGTAGTGTTTATAACATTTTTATTAATGTAGCAAAATTATGCTTTTCTCTTTTAACAATGAATTGCTCTTATCAGCACGGATGCTCACATCGAGCATAAAAAAAGGCATGCATATTGCATAGCACCAATGACACCTGACCAATTGTGTCCCTACCAAAGTTCAAATCAAACCTACCCCCTTGACCTGAGCAAACCATTTCCCTGATGACACTTGGTGATGGATCACCATGTTGTTCGAACCTTTTCTTCAGCAGTGACAGGTGAGCTTTTCACTGTCGATGGGAATATAAACAGACAAATCCAGAAGAAAACATGTTAGAGGCTGCAAAGATTCAAGACTGGGGCGGAGGTTTCCTTTTCAGCAGGTCAACCTTAAACATACAGCCAGGAATACAATAGAATGGTTTCAGTACGTAAATAAACTTTATTTACATAGCATCTTTCACAGAATAAAAACACTGCGTGCTTCATTATAAAACCAGCTTAAAAAACAACATTGAAAATAAAAACATATAGGAAAAGATGAGAAAATATATATTACTAAATTATTATTGATAAAACTTGTCAAAGGCCAGTCTAAATAAATGGGTTTCCAGCTGCTTAAAATAAACAACAGAGGGGAAACAGTGAAAAGATGGAGAATCTTGGGGCCAAAGCTGTAAAGGCCCAATCTTCTCTGGTCCTGTTTGGCTGTGACACCACCTGGAGAGAAATATCAGCTCTGCTGCTGCCATCAATACCATTGTTTATAGATGTTGGAGATTGGACTGTTTTCCAGTGTAGTCCTGTTTCTCTGACTGTGACTGGCTGGATGTGCTCTCTTTATCCTCGGACATGGGTGTTGGCTCGGAGCTCGTCTGCCTGGCTGTGTGTTTACTAGACGGGGACGCCTTTTACAGTTACTTTTTCTATCTCTGCTTCTGTCTCCTTGAACCCCAGTCGGCCTCGGCAGATGGCCGCTCACACTGAGCCTGGTTCTGCTGGAGGTTTCTTCCTGTTAAAAGGGAGTTTTTCCTCTCCACTGTCGCTACAAGCATGCTTAGTGTGAGGGATTGCATTTGAGTCAATGAGTCGATGCAATTCAATTCAATTCAATTCAGTTTATTTATATAGCGCCAAATTCACAACACATGTCATCTCAAGGCACTTTACAGTTCAACCAGATCATACAGTCAAATTGATACAAAGTTTTCTATCTAAGGAAAACCAGTTGATTGCATTGACCAATCAACCAATCAACTGGTTATCCTTAGATAGAAAACTTTGAATCAATTTGACTGTATGATCTGGTGAACTGTGAAGTGTCTTGAGATGACGTGTTGTGAATTGGTGCTATATGCGGTAAATAAGCTGAATTGAATTGGTCATTAAATGGGTTGTTGGAACCATTAATAGACTTTGACTAGAGGATCTAGAACTAGGAGAGAGCCAGTTTGGTCAGCGATACAGACTTGAGCTTGACCACACAGGTCTCTATAAATAAAGACTAACATTTTAAAATCAATTCTTTTAGCACATAAGTGTGTTAAAATAGTCATAACGTGATGAGCTAATCATGTCAACGTCAGATTTGAAACCAAAGTTCAAAGATCAGAAATATTTCTTTGCTGAAACAGTTTCACTCTAATGATGTGGCAGGAACAAAAATGTTACAAAGGTTTCTGAGGTTTGACACAGGAGGCTAAAGCACAAATAAAAAGGCCTAAATTTCATTTATTTGCTTTGTTGGGGAAAAAAATTCAGTCTCATCTGAGTTTACCAGAAAGTCACTGTCACAGAGCTACTGCTTGATACTATTAAAACAGTTTGTCAATAATACTTAAATATTCAGCTGGCTTAAAAGAAGAGTAGAAGTTAATATAATTAACATAGAAATAGAAACATCAGAGAGCTGCCTGATTATCGGGCCAATATATGAAGAAAAAAGAATTGATCCAAAGACTGAGCCCTGGGGTACCACGCATTTTATGCAAGACCCCTTCAGTCTTTGAGTCTAGTATAGAATGGCTCAGAAAAACAATGAATCTTCTTCCATAGGGGTAGTAATCTGGAGCATTCTCGAGCCATAACCAACTGGATCACTGTTTGGAGAAAGAATCAGATCGTTATTCCTGGAATATGACTGTATTCCAAAACCTGTTAATCAAAAATAATGAGATGAACATTGAGAGGAAGATGCAAAATCCAGGAGAACCATGTCAGTATTGATGCCTCCGAGTCTGCTGACACCAAAACATCTCTAGAAGCTTTTAAAGGTATAGAGGAGGATTTTGGCGAATTTTTGAAAATTCGCCTTCTCTACTTAAAAAAAAATAAATAAAAAAATGCACATGCACAACCCTGTACCTGCTTCTGAGATGGAACGCCTATTAAACGTGTAAGATAAATTTCTCCTCCTGCACGCTGTGTTTAAAAGTTGTTGTTTGCATCGCTCATACAAGCTTACTTTCCAAAATATTTGCAATCTTTCCACTTTGTCAGACTCACCACTGGTAAGTGAAAATGGGGACGAGCATGGGACAGCCTTATATAAACGTATCACCAGAATGATTGATAATTAGGAGAACCACTCATTTTTATGATCCACTTGGTAAAAGAACATCCTCCATTATACCTTTACCTACGGTCATGACTGCAGAGTTGAGACTAAAAAAAGGCAGTCTAAACTTGGTCAAAAATCTTATGTTTCCTTAAAAGAATTCAGCTGTTCTGCCAGTATTTTTTTAAAGAAGTTTAGACATAAATGGCGACAGTTAGGATCCAAATTGCAATATTTTATTATTAGTGACAGCTTGCTTGAAGAAAATTGGAACCACACATGTTGATTTATATAGCGCCAATTCACAACACAAGTCATCTCAAGGCACTTTACAGTTCAACCAGATGATACAGTCAAATTGATTCAAAGTTTTATATCTAAGAAAAACCAGTTGATTCCATCGACTCATTGACTCAAGTACAATCCCTCACACTAAGCATGCTTGTAGCGACAGTGGAGAGGAAAAATTCCCTTTTAACAGGAAGAAACCTCCAGCAGGACCAGGCTCAGTGTGAGTGGCCATCTGCCGAGGGGACTGGGGTTCATGGAGATAGAAGCAGAGGTACAGAAAGCATCTATTAAAGGCGGCCCTGTCCAGGAAACACACAGCCAGGCCGACGAGCACCGAGCCAGCTCCCATGTCAGAAAAAACAAACAAAAACATTATAATATCACAGGGAAAACTGTTCAGGAACTGGATAAAGCAGAGAGACAGAAATCAAGTTAGGGTACGTTGATGGACAAATAGTCCGATCAGACAAAGTCATCACTATTAGATGTAGAGGATACTGGTACTGTAGGAATCACCGGGGAAATCAGTTTATTGATTCAAAGAGGACCTTAACATTATGTCTTATTTAAAGAAAAAGATTTGATAAATGTCCACATCTGGTACTTTTTATAAAATCATTTAAATAAATCCCAAGTGCCCTGAAGTGGAGCCTGTGAACCTTCTAAATTTCCACCAGTCTTTTTATTCATTTCTTCACAGAGAAACCAGAGAAGCCATCTCTTTACGATACTGTCCTTATATAAAATCTCATTCGAGTATCCAGACCTAAATCAAGCTGATAATATATGGCGGGATTGATAACTGGTGTCCCCAGATTTTCTTCATCCAAATCTTGCTGAGCTGGAGCATTTTAGGATAACGTAGTGGAGATGGTCAAAGTTTGTATAGAAATAGCATAGCATTGTAGAGCTCAGAAAGTGGAAGTTAAGCTTTAAATGACAATGCCTGACAGAAGCTAGTGAGTAACAGGGTGATGGTTACAATTTTGTGGGAACTAAGCTGTTGACATCATCTTGTTTTCAGGTGGCCCATCTATGCCCTTGACAGTAGAGGTTTACCCGCCTCTCTATCTCTGTCTCCATGCAGGAGCCGAAGGGCAGGTGGATTAATAGAAGGCCATAAAGCCCACAGGTGCCACTTAGAGGCAAAACAAGCTGAACCCACTGTAAAGGAGACAGAAGATGCCAGGTGGTGGTCACACCATTGTTTTGGCGTTTGCACCTACTTCCTGGAACAGTAGGTTTGCTCTGCAGCAATCCAACAATGATAAACACTGGCATTGTGCAAGGAAGGCCAGACATGGTTATTGTGGTAACGGGCAGTTGGTGTAGGAGAGGGTATTTTGGTTACTCACAACACCTTACATCATTCCTCTAGTGACTCTTGGAGCAAACTTCTGAACTCTATTTGGTTATTTTGAATCAGCATCTTTGATCAGTTGATAGAAAGGTGGATTATTCAGCTCCATTCATGCAAGACTTCCAAAATTTAATTATCACAGCAATAATTAGAAAAATCTTCATCAACAAAAGAGCTGTTTGCCAAAAAATATCTTCTGAATCTATTTTTCTGTCATGAAATCTGGGCCTGCAGAGAGCACAAAGTGGTGGACTGTTTTCTCCACTGCTTGGTTTTGGTCTCATTTGTTGTGGAATGACATTCTTAACTTCAACCAAAATCACGATGGATGAAACATTTCGCAGATTACATCCAGATGATCTCCATGTAATTATTTTCTTTTTTTTTTTTTACGGACGTTCTTGTGTAACGACAGCTCCATCTGCAGATTTGCAAAGCGATACATTGTGGTAAAAACACTTCAGATTCATCTAAGCTAGATATTTGACCTTGCTTTTAGGACAAGCCTCATCGGAATCCATGCTTATTGAAAACCCACACAGCACGCCGTGATAATAAAGAGTCTTTGAACGTCCTGAACGTTTGAATGATTTTCAAAACGCAGCTGGATCTGTTCGCCTGAAGAGATCCAAGTTGGAAAATAAGCTAAGATGCTTGATAAACAAAAATGGAATTAAACTAACCCTTCTATTTTCCTTTAAAGAACATGTCACATTTCAGTGAATGATGTTTCATGAAATCATTCTCAGTTGAACACGACAGATCTGCCATTTTATGAGATTAAGGGTAAATATTCATCTGTGTTTTATTGTGTGCGAGTCTGCACGTGCTTTTTTAAGTGAAAACAGGAAAAATAGGCTGATGAGAAGACACTGAGTCTGGCATCAGAAGGACGAATGTAACTCAGGGACTGTGACAGAAAAAGAGATTGGTTAGAAGAAAGAAATCTGCAGTGGGGTCCGTCACGGTGGTGGCTGCGTGGGGATCAGCTGGTTGGACTTCACACGCGCACACACACAGACACAGGGGCTGTTAGCTCCCTGGTGAGTATGCGTGCACCTGTGTGTGTCTGTGTCATGGCTTTCTAGGTCAAGTAGATCCCAGAAAACGAGTGACTTACTCCGTCTGTCACTGATGCTGTATTCTTCCTCTCAGGGCCCTACCCCCACCACACACACACACATGTGTCACATTATTTCCTGACTCTCTTGTCTGTTCCTTGTGTAGCTAATGAATTAAAATGGTGCAGACTGAGACATGATACTCAGCTGATGTTCCCCCCAACCTCTCCAGCAACACACACACACTTATTCTTTCTTAATCTGGGTCAGGAGTGTCGGTCTTGGTCACCCCTGGAGGAGCACTACAGTTGAAGGGGGCAAAGTGGCAGCAGAGAGTTTTTGGCTCCTAATGACCTAAATAATGGCCTTTATCCTCATGATGAAGTTTTGACACCAGTCACATTCAAAGAAACACTCTGAAAGCCACTATTTAAAGATATCTATTTAAAAAAAGTGAGAATCCACTATCATCTAAAAACCCAACAGATTAAATGTAATGTTATACAGACTTTCATTTCCCTCTCTGACCATTTTCACTTTTAGTTTTTACTGCATCTGTTCCATATAAAATGAAAGCGAAATTAGCTCAAAATCCTTGTTGTGATTCCTGGGAATAAAAGAAACAAAGGCACGAGTCGCCCTCATAGGCAGTAAAACAAGCAGGAAATTCTCCCCTGTTCAACCACGCTTGGTCTCTGTATTGTACTACGGACATTTCCTGCTGACATTCCCTGGTTACTCTGTAATTACTGAAAATATCCTTCCTCTGCTGAGTTAGAGCCATTCAAGAAAGTTTAAAAAAGCTCCTTCCTCTGGTTGCTCAAAAAGGCCAAAAATGGAGAAAAAAAAATACAATGAATGCAAGTTCTCAGAAACTTAGTTTAATTTTAAACCCATATAAGTTCAGTTATTTTGTTTATTTTCTTCTTAAAAACTGAATTGACATAAAATAATTGGTACAGAATGAACTGGTTGGTTTGATGGTTTATCTTTGCAGAGTTGCACGGTATTTATATTGTAAAAAACACGGTACAGTATAGTATTTTATTAATTTTTTCAACTCTTCCACTTATTGTTATTTTCATACACATTTTAAAGCTGCAGTCTGTAACATTGAGGAGAGAGCAGACCTCGACTGAAAATTTGAAGAAAAACAGGTTTCACTCCACTCTCCCACCCTCTCTGCTTCACTCATGCCCCACCTCCAAGCTCCACCCCTCTCACAGCATCTGCGCGGCTACCGCATGCAACCAGAGGGGGGGGGGGGGGGGGGGGGGGGGGGGGGGGGGGGGGGGGGGGGGGATTCAGCGTGTGTGAGCTGTGATTGACACTCCATCAGACGCTCCTCTGGCTGTGATTGGTTGTTTTGACTCGTCCCGAATTATTCTTTCCAGATTGAAATACAGGCAGTAGGCGGTACCAATTGAAGCAGTTTTTTTTCACAGGTTACATATCACATGTACTGCTGTCTGGGCATAGGGACAGTTTTAGCCAATATGACAAAAAAGTGATTTTTTAAAACTTACAGACTTCAGCTTTAAGGTCCACATCTTTGTGACCACTCTTGCTATAGTATTTTACAATAAAGGGATTTTCTATTCTATTCTATTTATATATATGTTTTGTTTTTTTTTAGTCAACACATAATTCTAGATCGGAACATATGAAACCAGATTCTAAACTGGTTATTGTACCATTGGCAGGCAAATATTTATGTGAAACAAAAAAATCTCAGTTTTTAAGGCAGTCAAGCGATTCCACTTAGAGCTTCCTCTTCTCCCCAGGAATACTTAGAGAATCCTCCTGTAGAAATGTGTAACCGCTAGGATTTAAGGGAAAAATTTGAGACCTTAAAGGAATAGTACACCCAAAACATGATTAGCCTTCATTTTCTACTCACCCCCATGCTGAACAACACTCTGGAGTACTTTTTTGATATCTCAAATGCATCTGGAGATCTGGGAGGCTTCTTGCTGTCTGCTGACATTCAAATAATGGAGGACTATGGTGCCCGAGACAGAAAGGTCCATAAAAGTCCACAAAAAACGTGTCAATATTCCTCCATACTGCTCGTCCAATGTATTCCAAGTGTCCTGAGTGGGTAGCATCCAGAATTTACTCGAAACGAAGTCATTTAGAATGTTTTTAGAGCATAAACAGTAGTGTATAGGATTTCCTGAAAGCGCGCACATGCGCGATCACGACGCTACGGAAGCCGGCAGACCAAACCAGTTGAGAGTGCGCATTCAGCGTCTGCTCTGCCAATAATGCAAGCGTAGAAGAAGAAATGTGCTGTTTACCTGTGCAAAGAAAGAAACAACGAAAGAAAAATGTCCGAGGACTTCAGTGTTGAGGAAGAGCATGAGTTCTTTGCCGAGCTGAATGCGCTGGTTTGGTCTGCCGGCTTCCGTAGCATCGTGATCGCTCATTTGCGCGCTTTCAGGAAATCCTATACACTACTGTTTATGCTCTAAAAACATTCTAAATGACTTCGTTTCGAGTAAATTCTGGATGCTACCCACTCAGGACACTTGGAATACATTGGACGAGCAGTATGGAGGAATATTGACACGTTTTTTGTGGACTTTTATGGACCTTTCTGTCTCGGGCACCATAGTCCTCCATTATTTGAATGTCAGCAGACAGCAAGAAGCCTCCCAGATCTCCAGATGCATTTGAGATATCAAAAAAGTACTCCAGAGTGTTGTTCAGCATGGGGGTGAGTAGAAAATGAAGGCTAATCATGTTTTGGGTGTACTATTCCTTTAAGGACTGAAAGTTGCACTCAGAGCATCAGTTTTCCACAGTACTTCCGGGGCCGCGTGAGCAGTCAGCCTGTTCCAACGGCTCCCCGCCCAATCTGTTTTATTCACACGGCAGCTAGAAAGCTACAGATAAACCCAATTAAATTTGTTGTTTTAACATTTTCCCAGGGTTTACAGCCACATTATAAATCGATGTGAATTAAACTGTAATCTTATGATTATGTATATTTTTTCCTTTAACTTGTATGTAAAAAACACTGACACCATAGCAGTTACCTTTAAACATCCTTTTTTGAAGATGCCGAGCTATTTTCAGTTTTAAAAACCACATGACACCTACAGCATTCTGAGTTTGGCTAGGGAACACCCACACATCACTGAATTCAAAAAGGCAGGAAACTTTTGCCATGTGAAGATCACTTTCTAACTTTCGTAACAGTGGTATGCAGTGACTTTATGTGATCTATGTTTTTTTTTTTTTACCTCTCTGTAGCTTCACTCAGCTGCTGTTATCTGTGTTGATCGATGCTTCCTTTTCTGGACTGGGATTCATCTGAGCTACTTTAGCTTTACAATCTCTATTTTCTCTATAGACTTACGCCTCCCCGGGTCATTATTTGTTAAAACTCATCTCTCTCATACACAAAGCCACCTCTGCAGCTGGTGCTGACATTATCTCTGTTAACCTCTTTGCTTTTCAACCCACAGTCTGAGTATTGATAAACTCCATATCCAAAGGTCCAATACTGATATATAGACAAGGTTAAAGGTGAGAAACAACTAGTAAAGATTCAGTCCCCTTTAACAGAAATGCTAAGAGTTTAGTTGGTGTTTTATACCTCTGACAGATTGTTTGCCGTCCTAAACTGCTCTATTTCTTAAAGTCTATAATGCTCTAACAATGAAGGTCAGCAAACTTTTTTGTTTTATAAAAAAAGTTTTACATAAAACTTGATTAGCTTCATTTGTTTTCATGAGTGTGAAAATAATTGGTGTTTCTATCAGCATAAGATAGAATATTACAAATAAACTGACGTGCAAAAGGAAGATAAAAAGATTGAAAAAAAATTATCTTTCTCCTTTCCAATAGTTCCTTTTAAACATCTTTTTAAATCATATTAAAACGTATATTTTGCTTAATCAAATCCTCGTTTTTATAACCTAAACACAATATTTAAGATTTCAAAAACATCTGCTCTTGTTGGTTATAAAAGCTACTAAAATTAAAATAGAAACGTTGTTCAAATCTAGCGGTCAGTTATCTACAGTATCTTTCTAATCAAATAGAACATTTTTTAAATATATAAATAAATAAAGCTTTATGTAAAAGGAAAAAGTCAGCTCTTAATCTACTATTATTCAATGTTTATCTAAGCAAAATTTTACTCTGCTGTGGTTTATGTTTTTGGAATCAGAATTGAAATATAAACTAATTGAAATATATTGAATGAGCTGGCATGATTGGAGCTGAATTCCACATTTCTGCTTATTTCTGATTAAAGAAAATCAATTGGTTGGGGAGTGGTGGCCTTAGGGTTAGAGCATCACATCCACTGGTTTGAATGCTACAGACAGACACTCAGGGTGCCAGAGTAAAACCCTGAACCCCAGAAGGCTGCCATGGCAACGGGTGTGTTGCAAGCACACAAAAACAGCTTCACTGTAATGTGCAATGTGGCAAAAAAAATGGAGATTACCGGTATTGTAAATCTTTGAATAGATAATGATCTGAAAGTGCCTTGTGATGCCATGTGTTGTACTAAAGCAAATTTTTATAAAATGAAATTAAGCTTTCCTATATTTTATTATAAATGAGGAAAAGATGGATGCACAGTGAAGGCATCCAGGCAGATGACCTCAACATAGCGCTCACAGATAAGGGGAAGAACTTCATACACAGCAGATAAGCTTCACTGTGAAGGACACAGAGCACCTCCTCAGGTCAAAACAGGAGATAGGCACGACAAGGCCCACTTTATACGGGCCAAGCAAGCATCTACGTCTCTGGTTTGTATTCACAGAAGCTGGAAGGTCTTCCCCTAAGTGTATGCTGAGTGCCAGGGGAGAAGGATAAGAGCTTTAAAGGTTTCTGACTGATGGAAACTCACCTTTATCTAATCAGTTCTAAGACTGTCAACAGTGGCATTTTGTAACTGAATGGGATTCAGCCTAACGTGACAGACAAGCTATGATAACGTTAGAGGTCATTCAATGAGTGTGTGCGCACATTCTCATCAGGACAGCCTCATAATGACTGTTTAACAACTGGAGTAGTGCTCACCTGTGTCAACGTGTTGAGTGAGTTAATTATTGGCCTCCAGACGTCTGCAATCCTCAGAGAGAAAAAGAGATTACAGAAGACAAACCGAGGAGGAGATAAACAGAGAAGCTACCTCTCAGGCTGACAGCGGCTCTCTGGTCACCAGTAACATTGGTGCTACCATCCACACTCTTTTAAAAAGAGTCCTTTTCAGCGATGCCAGATGTGTGCCCCTGTTGTTGGGGAGGCAGATGATTACCCCCTCCCCTACCAACAACAACACTCCAGTGTTGGACTAACCTCATGGTGATTTTACCGCAGCATCTGGCAAATGTTAGGCTTCACCTGAACCTGCAGTTTATGCTGTAACCTGAGCAGGGCGCTTACAGATGCGGCTTTACTTCGACAGGCTGTGTGTGACGGTGGATGTCCTCTTGCAAGGTTCTGCTGTCTGCTTTCGAAGAGCATTGAGAGACAATCGCTCAGTTCAGGCAGGGAACCAGAGAAGTTGGAGCGTGCTCAGCGGGGAAGCCCTTTTCACACAGGGCACAATAACCACCCAGCCCTGGAGAACACAGTGCCTGGCGAGCACACAGCGCTGACAGTGTGCCGTGCACGTGGTTCCTACAGGCCTATGTGTCTTTTTGTTAGCAAAGGAGATAAGAAGAAAAAAAAAGCAAAAACAGAGAAGATCTAAAAGACAATAATCCCACACTCTCTGCACAGCTGGCATATTTTCTGAGAAGCTATTTCCTGTAAAAATTCTGACACAGGAATAATGATGGCTTTGATTGGGCCCCAGTTAACGGGAGGCACTTCCTGTCCCTTTGTATTGGTTTCATTGTGAGACGATGGAGTGGGAGGGAGGGGGGGGTGAGGCAGGGTTAGAGGGAAACAGCTGCTGGAGATGACATAGTCAAGAACATCCCTGTGACCTCCTACCCCTGCACACACACAGTCACACACTGCCACCTCTTACACGGGGAGATCAGTTCATTTTAATGGGAAATATTAACTACTGCCCCTACTTCATTTCCATGTGAAAGAAAAAAAGTCAATTAGACTCTGTAAAAGGTCAGGCTATGGTTGTCAGCAATCAGTTTTTAAGAAAGATGATTTCAGACTATAAGAAGACTTAGTACCAGGATCAAATATCAGAAAAGATTTTTTTTTAAGCACATTCAAGTTAACTTTTAAACAGGTTGTTCCTTATGCTGATGCCAAAAAGGATGGCCTCTCACCGTATCTCAGGATATTTCAGAATATTTGTGGTTCTGGTGATAAGCTAAAGTGTTTCCTGTGATTGTTCTAACACTAGAGAACACGCTGCACAGTCTCAGATGGCACCGGTTTGTCTTTTAAGAAAAGTTAAAAACAAAAACTGAAATCTAGATCTGAATGAAAGGTTTTGACAGCTGTGACGATTCTTTTTATTGTTGCTGTGGCTTGAAAAAATGATTCAATGAAAACAACTAAAAAAAAAAAAAAAAAAAAAGTGTAGCCTTGATAAGCATCGGGAACCCCTGATTTAATAAACCTTATAGCTGCAAGTCTCCTTCTTTGCAAAATCACTCAAGCACAGTACATGGCCCTAAGTAAAGACCTAATACTACATAAGTTTCTATCTATCTATCTATCCATCCATCCATCCATCCATCCATCCATCCATCCATCCATCCATCCATCCATATATATATATATATATATATATATATATATATATATATATATATATATATATATATATATATATATATATATATATATATATATATATATATATATATATATATATATACATATATATATATATATATATATTTTTTTTTTTTATTATTTTAATAATGGCATAAAATTTAAATATTTTTTTTTATATATCTCAAGCTGTATCCTGTCAAGGTTAAAAAGTGTAATATGCTTTTTTTCCCCTCTCTTTCCCAATGTGACTCCTATCTTACCACAGAGACAAAGGCAGCGCTATAGGTAACTGCCATAAGATTGCGCCACTGGCAGCGTTCTGCAGCATGCATGGCCTCAGTAAATCCATTCCCCCTCTCAGCCCCCCCACCCGAATGTATGTGATGTATTGTGATGAACGGTTTGTATTGAGGCTGAAATTTCAATTCCAATGTAAATTGCAATTGACGATAAAGATTGATTGATTCTTCTTCTGCTTCTGTCATATTAAGTCAGGTTTAAGTTTTTATCTATTAAATCTTATGTGTCCATTGGTGCAAATGGCTTACTTAATATTTGAAATATTGCCCTGGTTTTTTTATTTAATTTATTTTTTTGTTTGTTTAGTGCCCCCATGAAAAAAATACTGGCCCTATCTTGGCTCCTCGAGTAAATCTGGTCTAGAACCGCCACTTCTTCTATGTTTGGATTTCTTTAATAATGCTGCCGCTCTTCCACAGAGATGTTTTACATTGAACAACTGTTGATCTGTCAAAGATCCCTCCTGAGCAGTGGATGTCTACAGTCCCTCCAGAATTACCGTGGGCCTTTTAAAAGCTGTTTTTCCTTTATAGTGCATTTGTCTGTTCTATCAGACTGTTGAACTGATTTAGTTTGAAGGATCTCTGTGCAACAATTTAAGTTTGTGTTTTTATTTTATTTTAAACCTTAAAGGACATGGCAGCGCCTCGTGGCAGTGGCCAGGAACAGCTCTGTGGAAATGTCATGAGAGCTGTACAAAACGAAATTCTGTTTGTATACACTTCGTGTATGACAATAAAGTTTGTCTAAGTGTTTCAGAATGTAACCCTGCTTTGAAGGTCTCCACAACTTTTTTCTTGACATGATTTGATATTTTCTCTTCTGATTCGGCATGGTTAATTGTGTTAATTGAACAACGCTATTAGTCTTTTTTTTTTCACATCCAACTTAAATGTTATTTAAAGGTTAGGGTTTGCAACCAAGCCTGTGCTGTTTGCAAAGCTTGACTTGTTATCTGAAAAGGAAAGACTGTGGTTCACACATGAAATGCTGCCAAAGCAGCCTGATTTTTGTTTCCAGTGTTATATTGGAAAGCCTAAGAAAACCTTGGTCATTTCAGGATTTAAGATATTTATATATGCATATATGTTTTGTTTAGTTTTCTTTAGAAATCTGTGTCTACCTGCCAAGTGTTACAATCATCCATCATTACTCTTTAAAGAAACTTAGATAATGAAAGCTTCCACATCTAATTTCTCTGAAGGATTAATTTAGGTTTATTTGAATGAATTTAGTTGTATTTTTGAAGCGCATTCATTTTAGCACACGCCTTTGTTGAAATGCGTGCAGAAACACACTCTCTCTCTTTTAAACACACTGGTGTTTTCTGTGTGAGCGAGGTTTTCCATTAGCATTTTTTTTGTTTGTTTTTTTGCAGAGATCACAGGTTGTTCTGTTTCCTGCCATGCTGCGTGTTTCACCACAAAAGTTA